CCTCTCTCCCACTCACTATCTCTCTCACACACACACACACACACACACACTCTCTCACACTCACTATCTCTCACACACACACACTCACTATCTCTCACACTCACTATCTCTCTCACACACTATCTCTCTCACACACTATCTCTCTCACACACACACACACTCTCACACTCACTATCTCTCACACACACACTCTCACTCTCACTTCGTTCAGACGAATCAGCGTCTGAACGAATCAGCGTCTGAACGAATCGTTTGAATGAACGACTCAATGACTCACTCATTAAGACTGTCACCTACTGGCGTTTACTCTCAGATTTAAAAGTAGCTTATCTTTGCATATTTGTATGTATATATATATATATATACACATGTATAAGTGAAATGATTAAGAAAAGTTGTTTCATTTGCTGTCGTCAGCTGTAAGGACCTGTAAGGAAGTAACTGAAATGATTTGGCGCAGCGATACGGAACTGTAATGCAACTAATTCACAGCCGTGCATTTCCCTGGAAAATTCCTGCACGTATTAGAACGTCTGTCAGCCAATCAGAATCGAGCAGCTCTGTGGAGTGACAGCATGTGTCACATCAGAGGAGATAAAGTAAACCATAAAGCCCTCAAACAAACAACTCAGTGTCCATACCGATACAAACAGCTCTCTGTGTGCAGCGTCACCGAGATCCAGCGCTGACAGACTATGAGAAATATGTGTGATGAAGGTGAAGCTCACCTGAGCAGGTGCTGGAGAACCGAGACGCTTCTGCTGTCCACCAGAGGAGAGACGTCACAGCAGGAGTGCATCTCACTCGCATGTCTTCTCAGCAAACTGAACACAAACATGAACATCAACACGCCTGAAAACACTCATGAGCAGATCATCCACAGTCTGAGCCAGGACTTTCATTCTGACGGCACCCATTCACTGCAGAGCATCCATTGCGGAGACGCTGATGCAATGCTACATTTCTACAAACCTGATGAAGTAACAAACTCATCTTGGATGGCCTGAGGGCGAGTTCAGTCTCAGCATTGTGAGTGCGTGTGTGAGTGCGAGTGCGTGTGTGAGTGCGTGTGTGAGTGCGTGTGTGTTTGTGTGTGTTTGAGTGCGTGTGTGTTTGAGTGCGCGTGTGAGTGCGTGTTTGAGTGCGTGTGTGTGTGCGTGTGTGTGTGTGTGTCTGAGTGCGTGTGTGTGTGTGTGTTTGAGTGCGTGTGTGTGTGTGTGTGTGAGTGTGTGTGAGGACTTTCATTCTGACGGCACCCATTCACTGCAGAGCATCCATTGCGGAGACGCTGATGCAATGCTACATTTCTACAAACCTGATGAAGTAACAAACTCATCTTGGATGGCCTGAGGGCGAGTTCAGTCTCAGCATATTTTTAAATTTAAGTGAAAAAACAGACAGTATGGAGTGAAATGAGAGAGATGAAACTAGCTGACTGACACAACAATCCATTATACAGTTTGGAGTCATTAGACGGAGATATCGTTCAATAAGAAGCACAGACTCCTGAGAGGCGGATTATAAATGTTTGAACATCATAAAACAAGCCACTTGAGTGGTTTTACACTCTTTGTGTGTGTGTGTACCTGCAGAGTCGTGCGTGTGTGTACTGCAGAAACACACCCGTGTCCCCGTGAGCCTGCAGGACTTTGTCCCAATCAAACTTATAGTCAGACATCAGCGGCCCTCTGAAGTCCTGGCAAACACATTTGATAAACATCAGCACGCTATAAAACACAATGACAGTCTGAACGTCACCAATATCAACAGGTAATCAAGCATGACCGGTCACATGACAAATTACACCAAAGCAGTCGGTCAGGCTTGTGTTCACAGAGGAACGTGTGTGTGTGTGTGTGTGTGTGTGTGTGCGTGTGTGTTTGTGTGCGTGTGTGTGTGTGTGTGTGTGTGCGTGTGTGTTTGTGTGCGTGTGTGTGTGTGTGTGTGTGTGCGTGTGTGTTTGTGTGCGTGTGTGTGTGTGTGTGTGTGTGCGTGTGTGTTTGTGTGCGTGTGTGTGTGTGTGTGTGTGTGCGTGTGTGTTTGTGTGCGTGTGTGTGTGTGTGTGTGTGTGCGTGTGTGTTTGTGTGCGTGTGTGTGTGTGTGTGTGTGTGCGTGTGTGTTTGTGTGCGTGTGTGTGTGTGTGTGTGTGTGCGTGTGTGTTTGTGTGCGTGTGTGTGTGTGTGTGTGTGTGCGTGTGTGTTTGTGTGCGTGTGTGTGTGTGTGTGTGTGTGCGTGTGTGTTTGTGTGCGTGTGTGTGTGTGTGTGTGTGTGCGTGTGTGTTTGTGTGCGTGTGTGTGTGTGTGTGTGTGTGCGTGTGTGTTTGTGTGCGTGTGTGTGTGTGTGTGTGTGTGCGTGTGTGTTTGTGTGCGTGTGTGTGTGTGTGTGTGTGTGCGTGTGTGTTTGTGTGCGTGTGTGTGTGTGTGTGTGTGTGCGTGTGTGTTTGTGTGCGTGTGTGTGTGTGTGTGTGTGTGTTTGAGTGCGTGTGTGTGTGTACCTGTATGATTAAAGCACTGATCCCAACCCTCTCTGCGGTCTGCTCCGGGTCCTCCAGCTCTTTTGAAGCTACACAACATACAAGAGCCTCGGTTATCCAAAAACGAATCACTGCTGCCAGAAGGCGGATACGGTTAGGGATGATCAGTTACAGTTAGGGAGATCAGGGATGATCAGTTACGGTTAGGGTGATCAGTTACGGTTAGGGATGATCAGTTATGGTTAGGGAAATCAGGGATGATCAGTTACGGTTAGGGATGATCAGGGATGATCAGTTATGGTTAGGGATGATCAGTTACGGTTAGGGAGATCAGGTACGGTTAGGGGGAGCTGTTACGGTTAGGGAGATCAGGGAT